TAGTAAGCTCATGTGAGTGGAAGAAAACAACAATAAATTGTTGTTGAAATTTTGAGGTTAGAATTTCTACTGGGCAAAAATGCCTAAATACGAGAGTAAAACTACAATTTTGATATTAAAATCAGTAACCTGTTGTATTTAAGCACAATTTCTTATAAAAAGTACATTTTCCTGTTAATTTTGCATTAAAGTAAATAAGGAAACTTGCGTACCTATTTCATGTTTTTCTGGTCTCTCACTCTCACTTGCTTCTTTGTTTCATAAGGATAACACACTAGTTTTCAAGCTCTAAAATTCATTTATCGGTTTGTTAATCTGTATCAGATCGAAGAAAAAGTTGAGAAGGGACAATACCTGTGAAGAAGTCGGTTCATCAGGAATTTCCAGAATGTTTCAAAATAATTTTTGATAATTGTTGATAATAATTAACGATTCTGTCTCATTATATTCGTGTACAACCTCTTCAGCGAGAAAAATACTGGAAACTAGCAAGTTATGTCACCCACATCACAATCAATGTCAAACGCAAAATTACAGTAGACCAGCTATTTTTTAAAATACTGGCCAAATTGGTATTATTTTCGTAACCTAGCAACGGATATAATTTTTCAGTCACACATTGAGGTGCCCTTCTGGGATTGGTGGATTTAAGAGTCTAATAACTTTCTTATGCAAGCAAAAATTACTTCTTCGGCTCCACTTTTTGGCGACCTATTGCCTCCGGCATTGGACATTTTTCTCTGGGGCGGGAGTTCTGGCGCAGCCTGTATAGTAACAAACGTTTCAAATTATTAAGTGCATTAGGCACAAGGTGGTGCAAAATGCCAAATTGTGCTCTCTTTAAATATTCATATTTTAAAATTCACGCTGCTTAGAAAAATTATGAAAGCAAGTCTGAGCTTCTATTAACGTTTTCTATCACCATATAAGAGATTGTTCGACTTTTTTATGTCACCGTGTATATAAAGTAAGTACAGCACCTAAGCAAGGATAATGGAAATAAATACATTATTAGATATTTCTAACGCGTAAAATAAGTACAAAAAACACGTGTTTTTTGCACCCAGATATATTACATTAGCAGCGACAGTGTAGAAAAGAATTACACGAAAATGTAGAGAGAAACTAACTTAATTACCTAATTAAATTTCTCATCAAAAGTCTGTTGTCTGCCTTGACGTATATTATGTTCTAGAAGTGTCAGATTTATCTATACAGTAATAAAATCTTTAGGTAGAAAAAGTTTTAAAAAAATACATTTTCTTTCTTTATTTTTCAATTAATTAAAGAATTTTTTTTTATGAATGAATTTATCTATATTTCGTAAAGTTGTTGGCGCTATTACTAACTTTAGAAACACACCTATGTGGTTTGAAGTTAAATTAATTTTATTCTTTAGAAGTTAGTTTCACTGTAGGTAAATTACAATAATATAGGTGACTATTTAAATTGTTTAGTGTTTGTAATTAATTAGAGAGTTAATGGGACATGTATACAGCATTAGTTTGTTCTCGCTAAGAATCTTTGCAACTGTTTTTTTTTTCAAATTTATGTTTTGCCCGGAAATGAGCATAAAATACACACAGTTAATTGCAAAATAGGATTATAAACCTCCATTTCCTGTATTAAATTTAATTTAAAGCTTTTAATACATTTTATATTAATGGAGATTAAAAATATAGTAAAATGCGATCAAAGTGCTGCAGCAACATATACATCTTAAATTTAATTTTTATTATTAGTAAAATTTATTTGTAAACGAAAAATTTTACGACTGCTTTATGTTCAATTTTTATACCCAACTTTTCGATTTATTACACATAAATAAAATCAACTGGTGTATTTCGAACTTCAAGTGTTTTCAGGTTTTAACACAGAGAATTGAAATTCGAATCACGACTGTAATATAAGACGTAACGGATGCAGATCAGAATAATTCTTGAAAATATTCTAAAGTTCATCCAGGTTTTCTAAAAACTGCAATTTATTTTATTTCCCAAGTTGCAAGAACTAATGCAAACTCTACTCGACGAAATGACTTGGTTTTAAAATTATGTTGTTAGCATCTTGAGACAGTTTATTAATTATTATTGAACCAAGCCACAATGTTTGAACGATCGTAATCGGAGACCCGACCCTCGTACATTATAAATGAATGTTGTCGTTCAAAGTAACCTAAAAGGAAAGCTTATGGAAACATAACCAGGAAGGTAAATTATAAAACACGAGAATTATTGTTTATTAACAAAAGACTTTTCCAAACCCAAATATTCAAATTTTCCTTTGAAATTATTATTATACAAATTATTTACTTTGCTTTAGGACTTGGTTGAATGAGAGTATAAAAGGGAGTTGGATATAATTAATTACATTTTGCTTTTTCATAACAATAAATTGGGTTTAAAACGTTTATTTTATTTATTTCTAAGAATTAGAAATTATAAAGTTGGGGGTGTCCCAAGTTTTAGCGCCGGCGCAAAAATAAATATTTGTAATTGATTAAAAAAGAATTTTGATAGTGTAAGCGATAGATTGAATACACTTTAATTTGATGTTTTGATATAGTACAAATAAAAATTTTTAGCGTATGGCAGGGCAGTGAGACCTTAAAAATTAAATTTGGAGAAAAAAAAAATAATTAACTGGAATATTTTTTACAAGATAAAATTATTTAATTTTTTTCTGTGGTAGGTATTTGTGAAAACAGAATAACGATAAAAATGATAGGGTTTGAATAATTAACATTTAATATTGAAAAAGGTCCGCAATGACATTTATGACGTGCCTGGGCTCTATTGTGAAGCCTCCGCTCAATGCATTAGCAGCATATCTCAAACTTGGCTATAAATTACCAGAATTCCCAATTTTTAATATTGAAATGTTAATTACTCAAAATCTATCATTTTTTTCATTATTAAATTTTTACAATTACCACCAAAAAAATCAAGGAATTTTATCATGTAGAAAAGATTCCAATTAATTTAAAAAAAGTTTTTCCAAATCTGGTTTTGACATATGCTAAAAATTTTGAACAATATTAAAGCATCAAATTGAAGTCAATGCAATTTTCTATCGTTTGCACTAGCAAATTTTTTTAAAATCAATTAGAAATATTTATTTTTGCCGCGGCCCTAAAATTTGGGACACCCTGTACAATCTGCAATGTTAAAATCAACTTTTATTTTATTTTTCTATTACAGTAAAATGTACTAGAGGGTTGAGTAAGTGCAAGATTAGAAAACTCTTGAATAAGTTAGACTAAGCTGCGTTTATTCGTAGGTATTACTCCACATCTCTCGCTTTTCCTTCAAAGAACTTTTCAAGACAATAATTTTATTATAATATCCGTTTCATTCTGTTTAGCGTGCGAAATTCTGCTTTTGTATCCCAAAAGTGTCGTTGTTCGTAATGGTAATATTATTTTCTCAAAACGAAAATTTTGTTATAGTTTCGCTTTGTAGTCAGCTTAAATTATTCACAGGGAGGAATTAAAACTTTTTCAAATATGTGCAATGCTTTTTTTATGTTGGAAGTAATGAATGAAAATTTTACATTTTAGATGAAGCTTTAAAAGCTTGCTGCTTCGCTTAAATGGGTAGTTTTAGAGAGGTAAAATCATTCACATGTTATTAATATTTGTTTTACTAGAGTTGCAAATAAGCCATTTTTTGGTAAACGCTTTTGATAATTACTAATATGAATTTGAAATATGCTCGAAGGTGTTTTCCGGAATATATTTACTGAATATGATGTTGGATTCGACTTCATAAAAAACAGTCAATAAACTGATTGTAAAAACAAACAAATTACATTTACAACAGGCAATACATGGTTTAATTTAAACGTCTACAACTTTTTTTACTTAATAACTTTTATTTCAGGTTTGTCTAGACGAAAACAAAACAATCTTTAACTGCTGAACATAAACTCGTTGATTTAGTTTAGAAAAAAGGGAGAGTTTGCGGCGCAAAAAGCATTTTTGTAAAACTTTAAGTTCTTTCAGGTTAATAGAAATTTTTTTACGAATTAATTCCATCAAAATGTTTTATTTTATTTCAGTTCAGAAAAAAAAGACATATTTTAAATTTGGACTTTTCTTGTAAATAGTAATTGATTGGGTGCCGATTCGCTGAAATATATTAACTTGAGCACCGAATTTCTGCCAGCACTTGATAAACACAATGTTCCCCTGTCAGGTACACAAGCTGCCATTCCAACAAACTTTGCCAGTCCCCAAACACTTCGAAACTCGATTTGCAGCAAGATCCAGGATCCAGACCGTTGTCAGGATCCCGATTCTATTTACAACAATTCCTTGGTGAAATTCTCTCGGTGAATTCACCATTCACGAATAAATTTGAGAAATTAAATGTTATAACTTGACGAATGTGGAACGTGCTTAAGTTGGAGTTTTGCACCAACAAGGAAATTAGTGAGCGTCAGCGAATTTTGAACACAATCTATCCCTACGCAAAGGAGATTTTTCAGAGTGGACGAAACTGTTTTAAACTTGACAAATAGACTTTTGAAACAAAATCCTGGAGTTTTACGGCCGAGTGGAGACCACCAAACGCTATTTGGATAATAAATACTTGTCTTGCTGACAAAGAGAATAAATTTTTAAATTTAGAGGGTTTTATTTTTACTACTGTTAGTGCAAATTCTAGAAATATTTTAAATAAAAATGTAAGAAAAAAAACGCGCTAAATTTATTTTTTTCTTACGATTCGAAATAGCTCAACATCTATACTAAATTATTTTTTTAATAAATTTACGGCATTGAAGGGTTAAAGGTAAAAAATACTATAGAAAAGTTTTCTGTTATAACAGAGGCGCTAATTTTTTTGTATGTTGTTTAAACTGTTAACTTATTGTTGGGTTTATTTGTAAATTGATGAAAGTCCTTCGGTTAAACAACTCCGTTTTGTCTCGTTAGAATGTTTTTGCACCCTAGTCCGGAGACCATTGTTTATCTAAATTAGTTGCATGAATGATGTTTTATGTATTTTCAATTCACCCAAATAATATGATGAATTGTTCCTATTACAGATATAAATTAACGATGAAATTCATTGCCTGCTTTTGCAAATATCACGAGACAGCCTAAGCAAAAATGCATGAGGCACACCGTGCCATGCCTCGTTGAGGAACGTGTCATGGCAGGCCTGCTGCTATTGGGGTTGCTGGCCTGCGCCCCCGTGGCTTCTTCAGAAATCCCTCTTCTTATCCTTTCTGAACTCTGCTACTATCCTCTCAACATGGATTACATTGATCAAGAATTAGGAAATTTCACTCTAAAAATCCTGCCTCCGGAAGGTAAGAATCTGATGAAAAAACGCACGCACAATTTCTATCTTGTATTACAAAAAAATAAATGTTGGGTAGAAATTTTTCCCTTACTTTTAAAACAGTTTGAAACAAATTTTCTACTACAGGTTGTATTTTATTTAATCGCTGTTTTATTTGGGAGATAAATTTCAAGGCAATTGGCTTCATAGCTCTAGAAAATTAAATCATATATTTGGAACACCTGTAATTCTCTCGACGTTAATAGAGTTTATTGTAATGACCCTAAATCCGTTGTAATTTTCAAAATGCTACGTTTACAAAAGGCTCATTTTGCCTAAGCTTTTACCAGATTTTCCCTTGTTTTATTGTGAAAGTTAAACCGAACTCTTTAGAATTTAAGCTTCTTGCAGTTTTATTACATCTGCATTTTCACTTAAGTGATGCTTTAGGAGACTTAATTTTCACTTATTTTCACAGATCTGGGAACATTTTACATTTTTAAAATGCACGAGATGCGAACATAGATTTATCTGAAAGCTGAAAATAACAATTACTGCATGTGTGTAGGGGTAGAAGTGTGCTATTAATTTTATTTAAATAAATAAACACAGATTTATAAAATAAAAAAGTGAAATAATGATTAAGTAACTAAGTGATTAATTAATGTTGTTAATACGAGAAATCAATGTCAATGTAGGCAAATTTATCCTAATTAATTTTCTTATCGACCAAGAAAAATAACGTCCGACTGGAGCAACTAACGAGAAACTTGTTCGTCTCTAAGTACTTAGTTGCAACTACCGTTAATGGTGCTTTTAGAAACTCATAAATCATTTTGGCGGGCTTTTGATTTATCCATCTGGAGATCCGAATATCTCTGTCGATTACCAGTTAGAAGAATTTGCATTATGGAAGAATATTTTTTATTTGAAAAGAATAATTAATTATGGCAATCCAAAGTATAATTACGTGCTAATTTGACGATCTTTTTGTTTACAAAATTAATTTTTCTCTCTTGAATCTTGGAAATGATAAAGTATGTTGGTGATGGTTCTGATTTCGTTGTATTTTGATGCGAAAAGGGTGAGCAAAATACAGCTATTCAAAGGTAAAATGTTTTGATATTATGTGTCAAATGTTGATGAAGTCATGGGTAAAATTGATAAACTTAATGTACACTCGGGCAACTTTGGGGAGTTATAAAGACAAGTTTGTCATTCAGAAAATCAGCTTCTAAACTTTGGCATAAATGTCTCTGCAATAATTTAACTTCTGTGTTAATTTTATTTTATGACTTAATAAAAAATAAAAACATTATTAATTAAATTTACAAGAAAAAAAAGCATGAATGACTTTCAGTATTATTTATTAAATTGCTATCTTGTCGCATCCACTTTAATTAACTTAATTAAAAATTTCAAAAACAAACAAAACATTTGTTTTAATTAAAAAAAATAATTAAAACTTTTTAGTTTTTTCGTTTTTATTTTTGTAATAATGGTATTGTTTAGAACGATATTAGATTCTCTTGTGGTTCTTTGGTCGACAAAAACTCAATCGGTTTCTTTTGCTTCAGTAACGATGGTTCATAAACAACACATTTTTGTTACGTTTCCCAATATTATTTTTAACAAAAATTTTTTTCTTGAATCTTTTTGTGAAACGTGTTATTAGCCATTTGCGTTAGTTATTGATTAAAATGCAATTATTGTGTTTGTAATCATTCAACTCAATTAAAAAAATATTCAATTGGGGTCGTGCTACATTTATGAAATGTGAATTTTTATTGAGCTTCAAAAAAGTACATCTAGTCAAATGTTGCATTAAATGCATATTTGTAAGAAACAAATTTTTACGATTTGAAGAGTTTAAAATCTCGTAAATGTCTACAGTTTTATTGCTTTTGGATGATCACAGAGCTATTTTCTTCTATTCTGAGAACAAATTCTCTTAGCTCTAATGTGTACTTCCTCAAATAAACTTTTTCATTTAGAAACCCAGCTCTTTATGTTATTTACACGGTTTGTTTTGTTTTTAACTGCTTAATAAATCTGAAGTATTTTTTCACTACGAGTTTGGTAAATTTTAGCAAACAAATTTTATTACGTAATTGATATAATAAATGTCGAGCACGGCATAAGTGATATTTTCTATCAAACAATGAGCATTCGAGGAAATAATAATCGTAAAAAGATTTTCTGTTGTCGGAATAATTTACATTTCTAGACACATTTGAACGGCTTTCGTAAAATAAGAAGATAATTTTGCCAGATATAAATTTCACTTCTCCGAGAACTTTAGTCAAATTTTTGGAATAGATTTTGAATCTAAATTTGTGAAAATTTTACTTTATGAGTACGTATAATTTGTAGATAGACAGTTAAATGGCATTCAAGTGCGACCTTCAACTACTTCTTGCAGTTTTGTTGTTTGTTATTGATCTATTGGTCGCTAATAATTCTAAATAAGCTGGTGCGCAGTTACTAAGAGATTGATGACACACTTTTAACCGGAGTTTTTAAATTACGTGCTTTTATTTTCTGACACTTTTTATCAAACGTACAAATAATATTTTTATTGATAAAAACAAAAAGCTTGAATTGGCGTAACATGTGGTCGTACACATAATAATGATTTTAGATAAAAGAGTAATGTGAGGGTTTTCTTTTTAGAGAAAACTCTTAGAATAATAAAGAAAAAATACAATTCAATTGAGGAACATCTCTTTATCTTAGATAGGTGTTACTACAATGATCTAAGCACTTTGTAAAAAAAATAATTTTTTGTTAAATAATAATGATTTGTTATGTTTTTTTTAATGCTAAGCAAATGTTGCAATATCCATTAGCAGAAAAATTTGTTTTTCAAAAGGTATTAATATTAATTATTGCCATATTTTGAGAAAATCTTAAAGTACTATTTGTATCTCAAGTAACATGGCAAAGTAATTTAAATGTAATTAAAAATGTAAATGTAGTTTGAATTAAATTAAATTAGTTTGCTATTTTTCATTATCGAGTCTTTTCATGGATTTCAAGAGGGTGTTACACTTTTAAAAAAGGTTTAATAACTAAAAAAAAATAGTTAATTTTATTTCTCTTTGGTAATGTAATTCTTATACTTTTAAGCTTGTCCGACTTTAACACTCGATATAAAAGCTTTTAACTTTTTGTAAAAATTGACTTATGTATAGGATTATAATATGTAGAAGTTACAGAATGAAAATTTTTCTATTGTAGAATAATACTGTATGTTTTAGTTAAAGCAGTTTATACATAAATACATTATTGTAGAGGTAACAATAGTAATACTTACATCAAAGTACATCAAAACATTTATAATTAAAACTTTTCAATGTTTAACATTATACAAACAAAATATAAGAAACTTAAAAACAATACAAAAGTCTTGTGCTCTGTTTTGAATTGCTTTGTTTTTCAAACTAAACATAGGGCTATGTTAAGACTTAAAAAAATGTCTCTGTGTACACTGTGTCAATTTGAAAACTTACAATGGGCATATCTTTCAACTGAAAAAGTTATTAACAATCACTCAAAACCGTTTTGGTGGTTCCTAGGGGAAATCAAATGACATGGAAAGTGACATCTACCCACCCTTGAATGTAATAAAAAAAATCAAAATTTAAAGTCTTCGTTATTGAATAATTGGAAAACCGGCTTTACTAAGTAGGCTGTTGTATGACATTTTTGAAAATCGCTTGTTATGAGCTTTCCAACAATGTATCACAAGTAGGATCGTGTCATTTGAGTCATTTTGATTCCTCCTAAGAACCGCCGAAACGGTTTTGAGTGATTCTCAATAACTTTTTTAGTTCTAGAGATATTGCCGATTGCAAGTTTTAAAATTGACACCCTGTATGTAACTTTCTTGCTTAGATTATAGGCAAACTTATACAGGGTGTTCGTTCCAAATCGCTCCTGCTGATAACACCTAAACTTAATTCTTTTTTTCAAAAAGTAAATATTTAAGTAATAATAATCATTCTTGGCTTTCTTGATAAATGTATTAATTTTTTTTACCACATCCGGTGTTGCCGGAAAAGCTACCAAATTTAGTTCTTCAAAAGAAACATCTATGTTTTTTTTCCTTCAAACAATAATAATTGACATGAAAAATACTGTAAACCACTATTTATTACATTTTGTATAACACAATGCAATCAAAAAACATTTTAAATCTTAGAGTTTTATAAGGAAATTGGTCGCGGAGCCTGATAATTAGTTTTAAGGTATGAATAAAAAAAAATGCTTGGATTCAGTTTAATTGTTGGTTTGACAAATCTAATTTGTCAGTTGATGAGCGAGTTCTGGAAACTCTTGGATTTTCTTCGACTGATAACAGAACATTCAGATTTCTATTTTCTTGTTCTTTTAGTAAACCTGTGGTTCTACTTTAGTTTTAAGAAGCGAATCTATTCGTCTCATTTGTTTTTCAATTCGACTAAATTTCCAAAGATTTGGGTGAACTCTATTTGGGTATTTTTCTCTATACTGTCTTTCAGCTTCCGCTCTATTTTTATTGCTCTTAAAAAACACTTTAAGCTGATCTACCAATTTGTCGTAATTAATATCATCCATTATTCAAGTTCACAATAAGATTTATTTATTACTTTGTCAAACTAACAATTAAACGGTATCCAAGCATATTGCTTTTTTCATGAATACCCTGACAAGTAAAATCCGCCTATGTTGCAAAATTTGCAATAAAATTCAAAAATTTAATTTGTTTTTTGAATGCATTATGTAAAGTTAAATGTAATAGTGCTTTACCGTATTTTTCATGCCAATTATTATTGTTTGGAGCAAAAAAACATAGGTGTTCCATTTGAAAAACTAAATTTGGTAGCATTTCCGGCTACACTGTATGTGCCAAAAAAATTTCATGCATTTACTAAGAAAACGAATAATGAATAGTATTACTTGAAAATTTAGTTTTTGAAAAAAAAATGTAAGTGTAGGTGTTATCGGCCGAGGCGACTTGAACCGAACACCCTGTATACAGTGTGGCTCCGGCTAAGAAACGACTGTAAAAGGTTATAAAAATCCCAATTAAAATTTTTATTTTTTGGGTCCTGTTTAATTAAAGATCAAATTTTAGTTTTGTAAAATCAAGTATTATTGTATAAATTTTCTAAAAAACTAGTTTTTTTTAGAGTAGTGCTTTTTACAGTAAAGTACAGTAATACAGTAAAGTTATTAAGAAAAGTTGTTTAGAATCAACATTTAAGCTCGTATTTATTTTTTTTTGAGATAATTACTTTTTATTATCAGAAACGTCAAAAATTTATTTAGTACTAATAATCTAAATGTAAATTTTATTTATTTGTAATAAAAGAACTGTTAAAAAAATTCTTTGATTTGTTAATGAAAAAATGAAAAATTGGGGCTAAGATATTGATTCTAAACAACTTTTCTTAATAACTTTTTGTCGTATTTGTCACATTCTTGATTTTTTAAAAGTAAAATTGTGCTAGAAATTACTCCTAGTATTTAACCAAGCAAGGCTAAATCCCAAAAAATTAAAATCTAGAATGTTTTATCTTTTACAAGAGTTGTTTCACCTATCCGGGAATACACTGTATATTACAGTGTTTTTCCTTTCTTGTAATACAAATAACTATTAAATATGCCACGTAGAATAATCTCTTTTCTATTACCCAACATGATTTTTTCACTCGTATCGTGGTCAAAAACTGTGTGGTCAATCACAGGTATTTTACATGTTTTTGGTGTTTTTGTGTTTTTTTTTTTTGGTACTAATAATTAAGTAAAATAATAGCATTTTACATATTCTACTCTATAAACAGTATGACTACTGTAAATACAAACATTAAAATAATTTGACGTAAAACCAATTTTTTGCTTTAAATAGAAAAATTAAGTTAGCTGGCCGACCATTAGCGGATTTATTTACGCTATGTTTTAAATATAAAGTTTTCCAATTAAAATTGCTAAAGTTTCAAAGCTTTTAAGGAGAAAATATTAAGCGTAATTTATTTGATTTTCAGAACTTCTTACATTAAATATATTTTAAACTAATTTATGATTCTAAAAGTTAAGTAAAAATTTAAACAATAAGGGCTATTTTGTAGAAGCAAATTAAACTTTATCTAATTTAAAATTAAACCAATTAGAGTTAAGTTGAAAGAAATACGTGTTTTTTGCCCGGCGCATCCACCATTTTTGAAATTAAAAAAGTTTTTGCGTTTTTTATGATTAGTAATCAAAAAATTGTAATTGTTTATTATTTTCGTTTTAACATGTAGTATAAATAAGATTTTTTAATTAAAAAAATTTTAATGCTTTTTTTTTAAATTTTTTTGATATATAGGCTGTATTATGAAAAACGCCCCAAGCCATAACTCCATTATTTTTAAAGTTATGACAATACTTTTTAGAACAAAGTTGAATATTTTTTGACATCTATCGTTTAGGATAGATTCTAAATTAATGCTGTTTTCTGTTTCACCGGAAATCACATCAACTTTATTTTTTTTAATGGAACACCCTGTATATTTTACCACTTTTGGATTCTTTGTTTAATTGTCTTTTAACAGGTTTTAGTACCATATGCCTAAAACTAACCGAGAGAGTTAGATATTCACCAAATAATGTATTTATTAAAGTAGGCAGTGAAAAACAATAAAATCAAGTAATGTTGACAAATATCATTCCTTTGCATTTTTTCTTACTGTTTTTATACTTTTTAATGTTAATCATGGATGATAATGTGTTAACAGACATATTTTGAATAAAATAAAAATTGTGGGAGAGCACTATGCTTTTACACTGGGTGATTTCTGATGAGAGACGTTCCAAATCGTTGAAAATTTAAGCGACTTAAAGAAAATTTGAGAATGTTTTGGGCTTTTAAAAAACCCAAATTAAAACATCTCCAATTTCAAAGAGATACAGATTTAGATAGGTATTGAAGAAAATGCAAGAACGTGAATTTAAGAAATTGCAAGTAACTTTGGCTTATCGCACGCAACTGTTCTAATTTGGGTTTTCTAAAAACCCCAAACATCCTCAAATTTTCTTCAGGTCGACGAATTGGAACTTCTCTTATTGGAAACCGTCCGGTGTAAAGGCATTGTGGTCTCCAACTATTTTTATTGCTTTCAAAATATTCTTGAATCATGTCTGTTAACACATTATCACTAGAACACCAAAAAATATAAAAATAATAAGAGAAAATGCAAAGTAATAATATTTGTCAACATTACTTAATATTATTGTTTTCCACTGCCTACTTAAATAAATTTTTAATTGACTCATATCTCACGAACGGTTGGTTTTAGGCACATGGTACTAAATCTTGTTAAAAGACAATTATTTCTGGTGAAACAGAAAACAGCATTAATTTAGCAACTATCCCAAACGATAGATGACAAAAAATGTTCAACTTTGTTCTAAGAAGTATTGTCATAACTTTAAAAATAATAGAGTTATGGCTTGGGGCGTTTTTCATAATACAGCCTGTATATAGTATCTAGGGTAACTCATAAAATTAACTGAATATACTTATCAAATTAAAGAATAGTTATTTATTGTAAGAGTGTGTTAGGTAGCGTTTTATCCACGCAAGAATGTTTAACCGCGATAACCTCGGTTCGAGCGGTTAATTTTCTTAAGTGGATAAAACGCGTCTAACACACGACTGCAATATAACGTTTTATCCACAATCACAGGCCCAAATTATTCCAAACTTAATTAAAAATTAAACTGACATTTAAACGTCACGCCAAATGTGCTTTCGGTTAAACGTAGTAAGTTGTTACGCGGTGCGCTGGTTACTAACAGTGGAATAAAGTTACTTTATTCCGCTAGTGAATAAAGTGGTACTTTATGCGCATCTAAAATGTGGAATAAAGTCTTTTTATAGAGTGATTATGGTTAAAAACTTTATGTAATTGAGAAAATTGAATAAAATTAAACTCGAAATTAAATGTTTTATGAAAAGGCATCAAATTTATTTTTGTTTAAAAATAAATTAGTTAAATAAAAACTGAGTTTTTTTTGCATTTTAGCACATCTACCATTTTGGCATTCTTATTTTAAATGTATTTGTTAAATATTTTTTGCAGTTTTTTAATTTACTGTGTTTTAAACTGGATGAAAAAATTCAAGTATAATTGAATAACTGAAAATTTTAAATTAAAAAAGAAAACACACCTGCTTTTGCTACCCTACAAAATGATTAAGCGAACAGTGATCTGAAATATTATAAAAAAGATTTAAATTGTGGATAAACTAATTTTTAAGTTCAGTACATGAAAAAAAAATGAGTTGTCACAAGGAAATTTTCATTAATAACCGCGAGCAATAACTGACAGTTTGTAAGACTTATAATTTATTATCTGATATAATATTACAAAAGATTTATGATGACATACCTGATACTACGTAGTAGTACGTTTAAAGTAATACCTGTTTAGACGCTCTAGTTGGAGGTAAACAGTTACAGAAGCAGAGCAAGCAATCAATCAACAGTGTGCATATAATGTCGAATATAATATTATTCAAACAATCTGCATGGAAATTTGATACGTTGGTTTATGTGAAAAAACATTTCCATTATAAAAAAAATAAATTTTTCTATCATAAAACGATCCCGACCTAAAAAACCTGGAAGGGTTAATTAAAATGAAAATCCTCTAGTTTTTGCTGTTTCGTTTTAATTCCAAAGATGTTTTAGATCGGTTTTTGTTTCAGATGTTTGTGAGGACCCTTCCAAGCTGCTGCACATATTATCAACAAGTAAGGCTCCTCTTTTGGGGTCGCTTAGTTCGGAATTTTGTTCCCCGGCTTACATTATCGCAAATTTTTATAATACCACTCTCGTAACCTGGAACTGTCCAAAGGTAAATACTTTAAACGTGATATTTACGTTGAGTTTAACTCGGTGTATTTTCTGTTCACAGAGTACAAGAGGAATCGATACTCGAGATTTAAGACTTGCTCCCTCGATTCCTACAATAACTACAGGATTTGCGAAGGTTGTGGCTAACATGAAGTGGAAATCAGTCGCAATTGTTGCCAGCAGTAAGTTCGCACTAATTAATTAATAGTGTTTGAATTAGGTTTCTTGTTATAACTTTGACAGTTGATAATTTAAATACTTTCTGAAGTACTCAACTGAAACCTCGTGACTATATTAAAAGACAAAGAGAGCTGGCAGACCTTTGTGGTTTTTATTTTTTTATTTGTGTCATAACGAAACGAGCTTTTTACGGTCGGTGGTTTTTAAAAATTCAAGAGGCAGTAAAAGTGATACAAAATAGTTTCCTGGGAGTTTTTTAAGAAAGTGCCGTATTTAGAGAGACTCTACATTTTTTATTTTTTGGCAGATACGAGTACATCTCAATTACGGCTAGCAGATGCTGTAGATCACTGTCAAATTGAGCACGCAAATGTCTGGGGGGTTTACAGCAACATGTTGACTTGGAAAAGATGCAATTTCAAGTGAAAAGTGTGCAAATTTGCAAGATAAATGAAATGTCAAATTAAATGTCTAAACACATCCGTGCTAAGCACAATAAAAATCTAATAAAGTAAAAAATCAATTTGTTTTTTTCACACTACGACTCTTTGCAACAGAGCGAGAAATATTATTTTTTCGCTGTATTGAACATTGATTATTCCAAATGATCGACGTTATTTACAGTAAGATGTTTCGGGGTTAAAAAATGTCTCTGACAGTTGAAGATATTAACGATCGTTTTCTAATACGTTTACATGATTGTGATGAGTGGTAACAACTTAAATAGAAAGGAGTTAAAAATTTTTTTTTTAATATCTATAATTTAGCACGTAAGCCACTTTAACACAAAAACTTTTAATGAAAAGAAGTTTTTTCAATATACAGTAGGTCCCAGTGAGTTGCTAAAGTCTATTATTGATCTTTAAATATAAAAATTTTAAAAATTATATAGGATATTATTAGATACTATACATATATTTTCACTAATTGGAACATTTCAAAAAGTTTTTATATTTTTTTTAATTAAAAACTCAAAAACGCCAAAAGTAACTTAAGAGAGGCCCAATTTGCTATAAAATTTTATCAACAAACTTGCTGTATTTCACTACTGAAACAAAGGTAGAGTTTTTATTTCGAGGTTTGTTAATTGAAAATTAGTTACCTTTATAATATCATTTTATTATTTATTAAATTTATTTAACAATCAAAATTTTAACCTCCTCTCTTCTGGACGTTTCAAAGTATTTTCCTCATACAATAACGATATTGTGGTTACGTAATCGTTGGGAGTAAGTTTGAGACAACAATACATAAGAAATTTACAAAATTTTTAGGGGAATAGGTTTGAAAAGAGGCTTTTTTGTGGAGACGAAATTTTCAAACAACTGTTTACAGTTTTTTAATTTTTTCGCCAAAACGATAACATTGAAAATCAAGAATATTATTAAACTCTAGTTTGATTTTTTATCTCAAAGACGCATTTAATAGTTTTTCTAAAAACCACCCTAAATGGGTATTTTACTCTCTCAAAAATACCTTTGTTTTAAAGCGAGAGTGATCAGGCCCCTATTAAAGTTGAAAATTAGATCAGAAAATCAAGAATATTATTAAACTCTAATTTGATTCTTTATCTCAAAGAGAAATTTAATAGTTTTTTTAAAAACCACTTTAAAACGGTCTTTTAGTCCCCCAAACATATCCTTGCCGTTTAAAGAGATGTAAGGCACACATTTTAACGATTTCTGATACACGTGATATTGACCAAAATTCTGAAATTTTCTATTATGACGTCAGGGAGATTTTAATATTTTATAATCTTTTTCTCGTTAATCACAAACTATTTTCAAAAATCAAAAATAAAAATCAAATATTTTTTTAAGTATAATTTCAGAAGGCATTTTTTCCAATAACGGCCAAGTGACTGTTGTTGTCACAAGGTTTTATTTTATAAAAAAAGCTGTAACTAATGAATTTAATTATTACTATTTAAAGTATTCATTTTTACACCATTTACGTGTAAAAAAACTGCTAATATTATAAATATGTATTAGTAAAAAAAAATTACAATTGATTTACAGTGTTTACGGTCTTGAGGATTAAATTTAATAGAGAGGAAGTGCACGAAAGAAAAAAAAAACTAATATGATATTTAAAACAAACAAAGCTTATACATTGTTTCTTCCAACACATAATCGTGTGTTTTATTTCATCAAGAAATAATTAAATTTTACTTTGAATTAAATGAAATTGACATTAAATGTGACAGCATTGACAGCTATGTCATTCGTAGTGGATTGTCTCCAAGATAATAATGGTACGCTCAAAATTTATACTTTGTGATTTTGCAGTGCAGTGAAGAGTTTAGTTTAAACCCAAATAACTCGAGAACGATACATTTTCGCGATATGAAACAAAAGTACTTTTTTTATAAAAAAATAATTGGGCTTTCGATTTTTTGGCATCAAAAATACTTGTTAATAGAAAACTAGAAAACAAGACTTTCGTTTACACCATATCAAAGAGTGTCTTTTTATCTCTTGACGTGCAATGTTTTATAATAATCGGATAAACAATATCAAAAATATTTCCTTGAACAAAAACATGATTAGCCCGTCACACCAAACTTTTATTTAAATTTTTATTTTTATTTAAATTTAAATAAAAGTTTGGTGTGACGGGCTAATCGTGTTTTTGTTCATCGTTTCCATACCAAGAAGATCCAAGAAGAAGAAGAAAAAAATATTTCCAAAAACTCATTTTTCATACCGATTTTTGGTAAGCTGTAATGTTTCTATTTTTTAAGTTAGGTCAGTAAAAACTGTGCTCTCTATTCTCATTTTCTCTTTAAGTGATAAAGACGGATTAGTTAACACCATATTTCGCTTCTGCAAGTTAAACTCCCATAACATAAACTGTTAATTCAACTGTAACTAATCGGATAATGATGTATTTTAACAATAACAATATCCTCTTATCGCAAAGTGCATAAGTTTAGCGTTTAAACATCTATTCAGTTACGACTCTACTAAATCCACTGAAATAATTTTTGGCGGCTTTTAAGGAAAATTACTTACTTTTTTATGTGACGTATTAAATTTTTTGTCATTAGATTTTTTCTACCAGGGACGAATGGTGATTTCAAGATTTATCCACCAAATTATTGCCTTGTCTGAGTAAACCATTTTAGTCGTAATTTATAATGAATATCGTTGTTCTGTCTCTAGAGGTTTCAACATTAAAGGAGTCGAGTGTTGGTTTGTTAATGGTATATGTACTTGGTTTACAAAGGGTGTTGAGTGTAATTTTTGGCAAACAAACCAAATTATTTATTTTTATATCAAAATTAGAATACTTACTTAACACTGAGCTTAAATAAAATATCTGCCGTTTTAATTGAAATTCGTCAGTCTCATCTTTTGTGGTATTTAAAAAAGCAATCCCACTTTGCATTCTGTCAACTCCGTCTGTTAAAGCACTCACTGACCTGAACGTGATTGACGCTTTGTTGTAGCCAAGTTTTCAGCGAAATGACGCAGATTTCGGTTGTATTTGTGTCGCGAAACGTTTTCATATCAATTTAAGAGCCATTTGTCTGTGACTGTTTTGTGAAATATCATATTTATTTTATGCTCGAGTACCACAAATCCTTTTAAGTCTTATGTCATTTTGCTTAAGGCGCTTACATCTTGATATGCAAAGACGACGTTTTGCTAAATTAAAATTGTATTACTCGCTATTTTTATTAACAAAGAGACATTTAAGTTTCTTTAGATCAGTGTCAACCTTAAAGAAAATACCCAACGGTAATAATTATTAAAGCTCTTTCGTATTGATACCTTATTTTAACGCCGTAAAAAAGCTCGTTTATTTTCCAAGCGAATGAAATTTTGTAAATGAGAGGTGGGTGCGATTTTATTACCTTTTAAATAGTTTTCGCAAAATTGGTGGCATACCAATCAATCGGAAAATGTGGTTTCAATTTCAGAATGCAAAAAGTTGGACCATAAAAAATTGTTTTAATTATTTTTCTGTTATCCTAAAACTAGTTTTCTTTCAATAAGTTGTCCGGAAGTATCATATTACGTTTATTTTCGGTCATTCTCCTTTAATAAATACTGTTAATGCTCTGTAATTTAGTAACAAGCAAACTTCTTTCCATTACGACTTAACTTCTCTCTTCTTTCTCCTATTTAGAGATTTCGTTTGATTAACAAAAACTAAATCAATAGCAAGCCTTTTGCAATGTTTTTTTCCTAAAATTACTAGAACTTTGAAGCAGTTTTAATTAAGAGCTTCTGGTTTATTGTAATGTCAAATGTAAGTTAAAATCAAAAAGAGTAAGTTGTTTAAATTATAATAATAAAATACTATCTACAAAAGATTCGTTCAAAAGTTTGCTAAAAAATTTTGCCAAGCGCATCCACCAAATTTTAAGTTATGTTTTGTTATTGGTTGAAGTTTATTTTCGTTTTTACAAAAATTTTTTTGCTAATTTGTTTATGAAATAGTTTTGACATTTTTCAAACACCGCAAGATTAAATTCCAATAACATCACACTAACAGCTGAAAGTGTCAGCGGTTACTTATAACACAAGGCCTCGTAAAAATATTCTTGTAGTTTTTTCAAGTTAAGGTTTTTCATGTATAGTGTGCCACCGGCAGCGTTCTTTCAAGAAAAGTTTCAATTTCACCAGAGATTTATGATGCTCTGAAGCAGTCTGACCTACACGACCGTCTGTATTCGTAACTTTAAGCGACAACTTACAAACTGTACAACAATGAAACTGAACATTAGAGTTTCCGATACATTTCTTGTTTGAGTGAACATCAACTCATTATCGGAGACGAAAAATCACTTGTAATTTTAATCGGGCTAATGACCTCTTCATTATTTCGTAATGAATTTCATTTAATAGGCTCCTCGCTTTGTTTGCTTAATTAGGATTTTCAGTAGAATTTTTTGCTCAACGAGAAAGCTACAACGACGTTGCAGTAGAACATTTTGGAAATAATAAATTGTTTATGTTTAAAACAAATTGTTTCTTCAGGTGTTAGTTAAAAT